ATCAGGGCTACATCAGGCCTAGATCGGATCAGCTAATACTGGTAAAGTATCCTAATATTATTGTTTTAAAAATATAACAAATATTTCATAACTATAGAATTTCAATTGTGATTTATTCAATATCAATTCAATAGCCAATGCCCGTGTACCACTTATAGAATTAGTGATAGAAGGACACGAAATGGATATTATGTTTGCACAACTTCCAGTTACATCAATTCCTGCAGAATTAAAATTGTCGGAACATAATAATAAAGACGTTATTAGAGATAATATTTACATATTAAATGAATTAATTAAACGCATGGATAATTTAAATGATTCTGAACATTTTCAGAGTATTTTAATCCTTACAGGCATGTTTATAATAAATTCTACCATTTTACAAATATTTTTCCGTTAAATATTATATATTGATAAATTGAAATTATGGAATTCTTTTATGGAATTCTGTACCATAATATTCGGTAGGAAGCACTATTGGGTCGGCCATAACGTAGATAATACGCTACGAATCCACACGGGGCATTTTTCTCTTTTGGATCCCGCTTAAAGACTGATCAACTGGGAACTGATCTACCGGAAAAACAGGATACATTATATAATCATGAACATGTGGTTGGGAGGTGTTACATAATGATGCTCGTTTAAAAGATATCATTGCATAGACAAGAAGTATGCCTTAGATTTTTAAACAATTAAAATAATATCAGAGACAATTTAATAAATAAATTAAAGGTAAATATTTTTAAAGGTTATAGAATGTCATATCGAACAAAATTTTCTCTAATAAATCCTGAACGTGAGGAAAAGTTTACTAATTTATTACGCGTTGTTAAACAATGGGCAAAAGGTTCAAATTATTTTTTAACTATCAATCAACAATTTATTTAGCTCGACATATTTATTCAAACATTTTTGGTTATCTAAGCGGCACAATTTTATTAATAATGACAGCAAAGATTTGTCTTTTATATCCGAATGGAAATTTACTATTTTTGTTAAGACAATTCTTCCTTATTTATAGCATTTGGTTTGTTTATTTAAATAAATTTAGCACAATTAAATCTTAGAAAAATTGTAATTTTGTTTGCAATGTTTGTTGTTGAGTTAGAAGTGACTGACCGAAGTTTTTGAAAATGAGTGATTTTTTTAAAAAATCCTCCTAAATTTATTAATGCTCATTAAATTTGCCACAGAAAAAATTGTGAAATTAAGGAAGGAAGGAGTAGGGCATGGATAACGGAAAGGGCCCTTGTATGCATACAATTTCGAGATAATAATCTGTTCAAGCCTTTCAATTTTTCTAATTTAGGCCTTGGCCAATTCCAGTAATTTTGGATCCATTAGTAAATTCAAACAACATTTTGCAAAATTGGAATCTAAAAAATTTGTTGCCTTCAGAATATCATAATGGGGACAAAATGCCTGTAATTACTTCACTTTTTCCAAATCAAAATGCAGCTTATAATGTTAATAACCATACATTGAATATTATCATATTAGAGATTAATAGAGGTAATTTTTTTCATCATTCCTTTGCGAATGAGCAAGAAAAGCTAGTGTCTAAATTTTTAGTAGGCGAGGGCTTAATTTTATTAAAATGTAAAAGCGCACCACCATTAGTCGGTAGAGAATTTGGTAAATTGTGAGCTTAAGATGTTAGCGTTTAGCAAAGATCCTTCGCCCCATAAACGAGAGAATCTTGTACATGCTAACTTTTTAAACCTCCTCGGGTTAATAATTCCAAAAACCCTTACCCCGTTCTTAAAATACGCAGAGGCTTCAGGATCGTTTCATACACGGGGATAAACTTTTAACTCTATCTCTATGGAATCAATCACCATTTTAGTATATCAAGATAACTTAGTATTTTTTTGGCTCCCTGACAATCCGTCAGTGGACAATCCGGCAGTGGAAAATCCGTCAGTGGACAATGCGTCAGTGGTCGGACAATCAGCCAGTGGACAATCCGTCAGTGAACAAATTCCATACCCAAACTACCGCGGCCAAAAATTTTCATTCTTTCATGTGGAGGATTATGAGAGATATCGAAAATTTGGAAAAATAAGGGAATCGGCAGATTTAGCTGGATTAAAAGGATATCAGTGGATTTGAAATATAGCGAGGATTTCAAAGATATTGTGGGATTAAGGAGAATATAAGAGATCTATAGTATATGGTGGCTATCGTGGAATTTGAGAGATTAAAATGGATTTTGAGGATTAAGTGGAATATCAAGGGATATAGACGGATTAAGAGGATTTGTAGGAGGTTCCACGATATCCATTTAAAAACAATCTTTCCTATTCATAGATTTCCCACAATCCCACAATATTCATCCAAATCCGATATAATCCCACACGTTAATCATGTAAATCTAATCCATCCGAATATATCTATACTAATATATCCTTCTAAATCCATCGACATTAGCTTAATCCAACCAAATGTCCCAATATCTTTCAAATCCACTGATATCCTTTTAATCCTGCCAAATCTGCTGATTTCCTTATTAATCTCTAAATTCCCGATATATCTTATCATCTCCCACACGATAAAGTGAAAATTTTAGGCGCGTAAATAGGGTATGGGTAGGAATTACGAATTTTTTACTGACGGATTGTCCACTGACGGATTGTCCGACCACTGACGCATTGTCCACTGACGGATTTTCCACTGCCGGATTGTCCACTGACGGATTGTCCGGTCACGTATTTTTTTTGCCCTAATAAACGGACAAATAATAAAAATAGGTAAATTTTTAATTTGAAGAAGATTATATTTTTTTTAAATAATATTTTTCTATTTTAGCTTATAAAATTCTAATTGAAGGAACAGATAGAAATTCTTCTAAAAATTTTGATGAAAATAATTTAATTTTCAAACAATTGGATTATAAAAATAAATTTTGTCATTTTTTGTTATTAGAATGTACATCATTTAAAGACATTAATACTGAAAATCAAAAAGAATTTTCATCAGTTTCCCCTCCTAATTGTGGACAATTGAAAACTAGAGTTAGAACTCTCCTTTATCGTTGGGTAGAAAAAACTGTTATTAAAACAAAAAATAAACAGACAATTATTTTAAAAGATAGATTGAATAACTATCATGCTTTAAGTGGATTTGCAAGAAAAAGGCGAATGAATAATAAAAAGTAATTAATAAAATTAATGTTAAAACCAAAGACAGTACCGGGAGTGTGCACGAGAATCGTACAAGATACTCGAAAGAGTTCAAATCTTGAAAAATAAAAAACTGTCGGACTAGAAGCATATTAGATATCTTAATAAATCTCGATACCGATAACCGAGATTAATGCTCGAGATCTTGTCTTGATCCGGGCTCAATTGAAAACTTATATTTATGAAGATTCGTGACTCCTTCCCTATAAATTCTCCTCCAAGACTAAAATGTTATTTGAATAAAAACAAAATGGAAGCATGATTATAAAATGGAATTTTATAAAAACTAAATCAAAAACCGTTATTTGGAAATCAGAAATTTGTGATAGTCGTACAGAGGCCTTTTTACCTCGTACTCTAGTCGTAACTGCCAATTTTTTGATAACAATTAAGCTATAAAACTTACTAATAATAATCGTTCTTTAAAATCTTTAAAGCTTTCAAATGCTTCGCGTTATTTGGCTAGTTGGTCTCAATTTTAAAGAGGATTTATGTTCTTCAATTCCAAATTATATTAATGAATTTATTTCTACTCTCAATTTCCATGTGGGAAAAATAAATAATAAATATGGATTTAATGATAATTCACTTTATGGAATTTATACGAATCATTTTGAATTAGAAAATATGTAAATTAAACTTAATTATACAATTATTAGGGATCGGATTTTTAGGCATAAACTATTATTTCCTGTAATAGTTATGTTTACTAGGGTGTAGCACAGGAGGTATGTACAGGATTTTCCATAAGGCCGTCCAGAAAGCCCAGGTTTAATCCGCCAATATTTTTAAACAATCCTGCTTATGCAATCTACATATGATTTTATTTATGTACATAATTTAGTAAATTTCGCAATCTATTTAGATAGATAAATATTTTAAGGGTCTTTAGCCTAAAAATCCGATCCTTAATAAATATAAAAAAATTTAAGAATTGAATCTCGTCTTGGTATTAAATTTGAAGAGGAATTTAAACAAAATCATATTAACAAAAATAAACAAAATCAACATATAAAAAGTCAATTAGGTAGGTAATAAATTAGAACTCGGGATTTCGATACGAAATGCCGATGAACTTCTAAATTGTACCGTATCGATAAATACCGAAAATGTATAGTGTAAAATTTAATTATAGAATTAATTAGATCGGAATCCAGGGCTCTAATACAAATGAAAACATTAAAATTTATTTTTTGCTAGATCAAAACCATAATCAGCTTACGCAAAAATCAGATTATGAAAATATTAACAATGCAAAATTAAATCAAAATACCAAACAAACTAAAAATATAAGAAGATTAATTAAATGGCCCCAAATAAGTGAAAAATTTAATGAAAAGAAGAAAAATAAAAAAGATAATCTTATTAGAATACCATCAATTAATGAAATTTTTAAATTAAAAGATGATAAATAATTAAGAAAGACCGAAACTAAAATTTAAATTTTAAGAAAATTATTATTTAATTTATTTATTTTCAAAAATATTTTTAAACATCTTTGTTATATGTATAAACATAAACGTGCGCCAACCCGCTAGCCCGCGGTAGGCACCACGTGTAAATTTAAAAATTTGATTTAAACATTGTTCCCGTTTTCGCAACAACTCTACAGTGCTTTTATGTGGTTCCGGGGGTTTGCCAAAAAATCGTCGTTGTTCTTTTAACTATAATGGCCCCGCTCTCAGTGGCAGCACTCTGTGGCGCAGCCTAGTCACCCACAACCGTGGATTCTTCCCATTTCTTCAACATATTTATTTAGGTATTTAAAAGAAAAAATATATAGAACATTAGTAAATTCGAAAATCATAAATCTTATTGATGTGCCAATTCTTCAACGGAAGGACACATGCATACCAAATTTCTATCACCAAAAGAATCATCAATTCTTCCACAGGATGGCCATACCTTCCTTGGAGTAAGACACCATGGCTTTGGCCAACCAGCTTGTTCTCGACTGTAAGGTCTGTCCCAAATGTCGGCCATCAAAACTGCTTGTGTGTGTGGGGCATTCTGAATATACAAAAATAAGTAGTTCAATATTTTCATCCCTACTTTGTAGAGATCAATGTGTAGTTGTCCTTTAGCTATTTGCTCTATTTCTTGTTTGATTGCAATCAAAGAATCACAGTACCGATCCAATTCTGCTTTGTCCTCACTTTCTGTCGGTTCGATCATTAAACTATCACGTATCGGCCTATAGAAAATTTTAAATTTTTTCTCAAATAAGAAATTTAAAAATCTAGCCAATGCATTGTTGGTGCATGAAATCCAAAATCCATTAAACGTTTAGCTATATCATCCACTTCAATACCAACATGCTTGAAAGGTTTGCAGTCTATAATAAATTCATGAGCGTTTAAGCCTTGTTCGTCTCTATAAACAACTCGATAACCAGCATTTTCTAATCTTTTTGCCATATAATTAGCATTAAGTATAGCCATTTGGGAGGCAATTTTTAAACCAGAAATACCCATTCTTTAAAAAACAGTTCAAAAAATAAATATCAAAAAACTATTTTACAATCTAATATATGCCCAAGTAATTGGCAAAATACTGGCACTTCCCCAAGGTGCACCGCTCACAACGCCATTATGCCGTGTTTACATAAAAAGCGTCTTGCGTTTTGCGGAAGAAAATAGCATTCAAAAGAATGAGAGACAAAATCGCGTCTCTTTATTTTTAATGCTATTTTCTTCCGCAAAACGCAAGACGCTTTTTATGTAAACACGGCATTATATCTTTTTTCAACATTTTGTGGTATTATTGGATGTCCAGGTAGGAAAGGTGCAAGATGTGATTTACTTAAATAAATTATTTAAATCTGTTGGAAAAATTTTTTGATTTAGAAGGAAACTTGGAAATATTTTGTGGATAAATTCTAAAAATGTTAAAGACTGAAAATTTACAAGACTCAGGCTGGACCCTAAGTCCAAGAGAAAGCACAAGCCCATGAAAGAAAATCCCCAAGAAAGTCTTTGGAACAAAAGTCTTGAACTTAGGACCAGTCCTTTTTCCCCAAATTTATTAAAAAATGACTGTACCCATTCAATATTTAATTATTGGGTTAACTGTTTGTTTAAAATTATTAACTCAAATTAAAAAATTTTCACGTAAAATTTTCCCCCTAAAATAATTAATGTTTTCAGTTATCTAAATACTCATCTCTCCCCATATTTCCATTTATTTTCTAAAAATATCTACATACACTCCAATTGGTCCCATTCCTGGTCCTCCACCACCATGAGGTATACAAAAAGTTTTGTGTAAATTAAAATGGGAAATATCACTTCCATAATCTCCAGGTCTGCAAAGGCATGCCTGGGCATTAAAATTAGCACCGTCTAAATAAACTTGACCTCCTTTGAAAATATTTAAAAAAAAATTATATTTATATAATTTAACCATTTTCGTGTATTTTGTTACAAACTTCTTTAATTTGTGATTCAAAAACTCCATGAGTTGACTTAAAATATTAAAAATTAAATAAATGATTTTTGAAAAACAGTTAGATTTTTATTAGATTAAATAGTTAAATATCTGCTTTTTGAGAACTTAGGACCTACCTACTACATATTTATATTGTGCGTGTATATTATATCTTCGGATAAGTAAGGCTTATACGCACATGAAACTTATGACTCACTATATAAAAAAATTGGTACGAATTTGGATGTTATCATATTATCTAATACTGACAGCCCTACAGATTTTATAATTTAAAAGTAAATTGAAAAAGGCCATTTCGTTGTTAATTTATAAAATTAATCTTTGAAATTATTGGGGGATATGATAAAATAATCAATATTAAGCTTTGATTAATTTTGAAAAACTAATAAAAATAATCTTACTGGATATGTAATCATTGCACATGCTAATTCATTAGAAAAATATTCACACTTAAATATATTTATTGAATCTTAATTTAAACTTAATTTTTTTACTTTATCAGAGAGATCTTTAAAATTAATATTTCCATGTTTATCTGATTCAACTGGAACAACTTTAAAATTAGCCATGTGTGCAGTAGCTGGGTTAGTTCCATGGGCAGATACAGGGATCAAACAAATCTTTAAATTTTAATAAATCTATTTGAAAAAAATTTTTTCCTAAACAAATTTACATTTCTTTGGCTTTCCCCTTTAGAATGGAAATAACCACGAATTGCCAACATACCAGCATATTCACCATTAGCTCCACTAAAAAATTTGAAATTTGCTAAAAGAACAGTTCCTTTTAAAAAAATTTTAAAAATCAAAAAATATGTGGGTTGATTGGGGTAGACTGAAAATAATTTTAGTTTCACTCTCTTCGAATAATTAAAATCTAACCACAAAATTTGACTAGTTCGGAGACTCAGAGAGAGACTTTTCCACCTCGGAGGGAGATTCTCGTAGAAAGATAATCAATCAGAGAGAGATTTTTTTCATTTTTTTCCACATCTCACTCGAAGATTTTTCCACCAGCTAATGCTGCAACTTGGCTCGACGAGCGTTCCGAATAAAACAAAAAATGGAAGGGGACGGGGGATGGGGAGAGCGTAAACTAAAAAAATTCTAAAGAAGAAGTTCATTAAATCAAAGTGCTAATCCATTTCACAAGTCTAGTGTTTAACTTATCCATAAATGTTAAATATTTTCAGTTAAAAAAATTGCTAAATTTTTAAAGAAAGAAATTGAAAATTGTTTACGCATCATGACAATTGTTTTTATATATAGGATAATTTAATAGTACCTATTTGGCTGTAAAGAAAATTTATCATAACCAGTAAGTTCACACAACCAACGTTCCAAATCATTAAAAATCTAACGAAAATATGTAACAATTATTCTAATTGAATCCTAAATTACTTTAGAATATCCTTTTGCTTGTTCTGTAGGTACAAAAGGGTGAATATTAGCTAATTTTGGCCAACTTATCTTTAAATATTTTTTTAATTTAAATAAAGTTTCAAAAAATTTACAGGAATTAATTCACAACTTGCATTTAATTTCATTGTACAAGAACCGAGGGGAATCTATAATTTCAAAAATAAAGTTAAAAATAAAATTATTTTAACCATTGAATGGACAAGTGAGAGATCTTTGTTTTCAAGTCTTTTCATATATCTTTAAATAAATTAGGTAGGTATTTAAAATTATCAATAAAAATATTTTTAATTTTAAAATATGATTAAGTTATTAAAATTTATTCACCTAATAATCTGAGTTTCACTATGATAACTATTAAATACATGTCCAGTTAAAAATAGTGAATGTCTAGAATGTAGAGAATTACCAATTAAAGGTGTTGAAGTTTCCATTAATTTGTTTTTAATTTCCTTCTAAAAGAATTAAATTCTTAATTAATTACATTATAATTAGAACTCCTAAACATTGGCCAGGGTCGGGGTTTCAATGCCCGGTAGTCCGTAAATCTAAATCGAATATTTTGATAGTCTGTTTTGGGGTGGAGGGAGGTTCATGGGCTGGGCCTTGTCTGAAAAACGTCCCAGAGTTAAATTTACCTCACAGATATCAATTCCAAATAAATAAAGAATATCACAAATATCACCAACTTTTTAAAAATTATTATTAAAAAATATTTTTTTAAAAATTACTTTTAGTTGTTTCATCCAAAGAAATACCGATATAACCATCATTATAATTCCTAACATTTATTCTTTTTTCCTCGCATTTTAAATCAAATAATTGCTTATTTAATGGAAGTATTTTTAACGTATCGAAAAAACATTTATGGACAACTTGAATTCCATTAGCTTTTAAGGCTTAAAGAATTAAAATTTTTAATTATCTATTAAAGATTAATATTATATTTATTTTTGGTACTAATTTAATATCTCATTATTTTTAAGCCACAAATTAATTTTTCTTTTTTACTTTCACACAATTTTCCTCCAACATTTTATGTAAGGGAGAAGGTATGTATTTAATTAAAGTTGCCGGCCCATAATCGATAGATCGAACCGGGCATGAATTTTGGCTCGAAAAAGACTCGAACGGCCAGGTTCGATAAAAATGAAACCCGAAAAAGACTCGAACAGTCCGGCCCGAAAAAATGAGGTCCGAAAAAATTACTCTAACGTCGGCCCGGTTCGTAAACGGCAACCCTATATTTAATATCAACTTTATCAAGATGAAAGTTAACGAGGGGGGGCAAATGTTTGTCAGTAAAAGGAGGTAAATAAATGATTGATAGTAAAACAGAAAATGAGGAACTCAAATAGAGAGGGGGATATTAAATTAGTAACAAAATCTGAACAAAATTAAATTTCAAATTACTTTGAGAAAGAAATGATGTAGCTTTGTGTATCATTTTGGCAATATAAACTAAACGATTGGGTCCATGATAGATTGCATACCTTAAAATATTCAAAAATAATTTTTCTCAAAATTCTCTTTCAAGATCTCTCTGTCAAACAATTTAAAAAACAAACATTGCAGAAATATTAGCAGGAAGTGCTTGAGCAGTGCAAATATTGGAGGTTGCTTTATCTCTTCGAATATGCTGTTCTCTAGTTTGGAGAGTTAAACGATAAGCAATATTTCCCTGTTGATCCCTAAAAATCTAATGAAAATAGCTCAAATAATTTCCAGAAAACACCTAGAAACCCCAACAATCCTTCCAGGCATTTGTCTAGCCAATGCTAAATTGGCAACAGACATAAATCCAGCATGAGGGCCACCATAACCGAGAGGAAGTCCAAACCGTTGAGCACTACCTACTGCAATATCTGCCCCCAAATCTCCGGCAGAACGTAAAAGTGTGAGAGCAAGTAAATCGCAAACCATTATAACGAGAATCTAAAAATTAAAATATAAGATTTGTTTAATTATAAAGGGATGTGTTTGTGCTTATTCACGTGCATTTTAACTTTTCATGAGGGATAAGCCCTCACAGATTATAAAGAGCGGAATGGCAAAACAGCCCAACCCTGTTTTTGGTATAATTTCGGAAAACTAAACAGACTCCGATTGGGACAAATTATATGTCATTCGACTCAGCTCGGCGAGCTGAGTCGAATGACATCAAAATATCGATTGGGACGTAACTATGGGCCGAGTTATAGGTCCCGAAAAATTGAAAAACCATAGGGGGGACCAAGCACTTTTTTGGGGTGAAAAATTCGAAAATGCAAATAATAGCTCATTTGAAAGAGCTCTTCAAGCTGAGTCGAATGACACCAAAATCAGCGTAATCCGCTTGTTTTGACAAAGTTATGCTCGTTTGTTTTAGCTCCTTACCTATGGCCTCCGTGGATGTTCTTGCTGCTGCGGAGGAAGCCGGGCATGCCCATCACAGCGATAATTGGAATAGGATTAAGTTACGAGCCCAGACCCAGCGCCCGTACTCCCCGCGAGGCGCGTGCCGCAAAACTCCGCGCGAAGCGCGGAGTTTTGCACAAGCGCCTCGCCGACCCTCCATAGGTTTACGTTGTTTGTTTTTCTGTCATAACTTCGAAAAAACTTAACCAATCACTGCGATTTTGGTCTTATTCGACTAAGCTTGAAGAGCTCTTTCAAATGAGCTATTATTTGCATATTCGAATTTTTCACCCCAAAAAAGTGCTTGGTCCCCCCTATGGTTTTTGACTATTTCGAGCCCTGTATCTCGGCCCATAGTTACGTCCCAATCGATATTTTGATGTCATTCGACTCAGCTCGCCGAGCTGAGTCGAATGACATATAATATGTCCCAATCGGAGTCTGTTTAGTTTTCCGAAATTATTCCGTTTTTCATATGTGAAAAGGGATTCTGACGCCTTCAGTTTATCATCATTCCCGACACATATCTATTACATATTTGTGTTATTCACTTATTACTTAATGCCCTTCATAAATACTTAAACAAGAAGGTCATTATTTAATTATAAGAACTATAATATCTGATCTGGCCTAAGCTTTCTATTTGCCTCCTTTAATATTTGCACCTTTTTATGTATTTATTTAACATAATTTGTTTTATCCACTAAAGGCTTCTGAACTCGTAGTTATATCAGTGTGACTTCAATAATTTCATCAAAATTATCTATTCACCTTTTCTTTATGTGCGCATTGAATTAATAAATCCAAATCCTCATAAATTAACCCTTCTGTGTTGGGATATTGTAAAATAATTGCAGCAATATTATCTCCCAACTTGATATTAACATTTATATCATTAATATTCAATGGTTTAAAATTAATATCCATTGGTTCTGAACGTGTAGACATTACACCAATATTTTGTGGATGTAATCCAGTATCATAAAGGATTGCTGTAAATAAGAATAGCTGTAAATAAGAAGAAAATGAGGATATTTTTGTTCAGATCTTCAGTTAAGTTTCGGATATCCTAAGATTTCCAAGGACTGCTAATTATGACAAAATCACAAGACTGAAACATTAATTTTAAGATTTTTTTCGAATCAAAATCACTATTTCTAAAGACACACGTGGAAAATAAAATTCCCGGGAACGAAATTTATTAAAGCCGTGTCAGCATATAACCAATTAAAATTTCTTTGTATTTTTCTTAAATTTTTTATGAAATTTTTAAAATTTTTGGCTAAATTTTGGCCGGTATCTTGACTGTAAGCATATGAACGTCATATGCGATATTCGTCTGATTTTCCTAGGTCTTTTGAATTTTTCTTGGAATTGAATGTTTCATATTTTTATTTTAAGAATTTAAAATTTGTTATTTACTCGAAAATAAAATTTAATAATTTCTTACACAAAAAACAAACTTCTCCTTTTAGTTACACGAACAGCTAAAGCAATAGCCTCAGCACAAGCAGTACTTTCATCCAACAACTTTAATTTAAATTTATAAATAAATTATTTTAAATTTAATTTACTGAAGCATTTGAAAAGGGTAAACCAGTTAAATCAGATATCATAGTCTGGAAATTTAAAAGACTTTCTAAGCGTCCCTGTGCTATTTCTGGTTGATAAGGAGTATATGGGGAAGTCCTAGAAATTTATGAAAATAAAAATTAAATAGAAATTTAAAAATTAGTGTATATCTTTTGCTTTTCATTATAAAGTCACTAGTTAATAAAACATGAAAAACTAAAACTGTTATATTTTAATAATGTAAAAAACTAAATTTAATCTTGTTTGATAGTTGATGTAGGAAGGTTTGGCTGTTTTGGATATCCGAAACTGAAAAAGGTTGGGTATTGGGAAATTTTCGGATCGGTTCCTGATACATATCCTGTGATTTTCAAGGAACCGCCAACCCTAAACAAGGGTGAAAAATAATGAACATAAAAATTTGTCCGCAACGTGATCCGCAAAAAATACGTAGGGCACCAAGTAGTAACGATTATTTTTTAAATTTTTTAAAATTTAAATAATTAATCACCATCCAGCATTTTGTAACATATTTTTAACAATTACTGAAGGGACAATACAATCTTTAAATTAATTTTTCAATAAATTTTTGATAAATGAATATATCAAATATTAACATACCATAAAATCCCATACCTAAAAATTAATAAAATTAAAATAAAAAAATAATAAATTATTTTTAAAAATTATTCACATGATTAATTTTTAATCAAAAATATACAAAAATTGAATAGTTCAGTGTTATAGGTTCAATAGTTATTTACCTATAACTAGCGGCAGGAGGTCACAACTAGGGTTGTCGGTTCTAGACTGCACCGAACCAAAAACTGAGGATTTTTCGGTTCCGGTTATCCGAAGATTTTCCAGGAACAGACAACCCTAATCGTAACATAAGGAAAGCCCGGTAACTTATAAAGTCGATTTTTGGCGAATTACCCCCTACCGAAAGGAAAATCTAAGACTGATAAAAATTGGCCATAATTAAAAATTGCATAATTTCAATCTTTTTAATTAATTTATTTAAATTTACCAATAAAAGTTTTGTAAGGATTATTTAATGAAGCAATTTCTCTTAATTCGTTTAACATTTTAGATTCGTCTACGCCTTCTTCAGGAATTTGTTTTCCCAATTTTTGGCGTAAACGAATACTTTCTGGCACGTTTGTGTTGGTTAATTCGTCCAAATCCTTTTAAATTACAAAAATATAATTAAAAAATTTTACAAAGAATTATAATCGGACCAACATAATACGATTGAATAAGTTTTGACAAAGTATCCCCATTGGAATAGGTGAGACAACCCCGAGCTTCACCCGAGCCATTTACCCCACCTGTGCACCAAACAGAAATCTATTCCTTTTTTCAGTTAATTGAGTAAATCCTAAAAAATGAGCTTGGGGAGGGAGAGTGGGGAGGGGAGGGGCTGCTTAAGTTGAATCTAATGAATTTGTTTCGTTATTCACGGATGAGAAATTAATAGACGTGATCCCCATTTATATATTTTTTCACATACACAATTGCGGTCCCATTTTATTTTATAAAGTTAAATATTTGCCTTAAATCCAAGATAACGAAGCATTTGCTGTTTCTCTAACTCTAGAATAAATTTTACAAATTAAAATAAATTTATACATATAGGTATTTTTTAATTTTAACTAACCACAAGGACCTTTATGTCTTAAAACGAGAATTAAATAGCTCAAAATTACTTAATTTACCTGTCAGAAAAACAATCAGAATTTATTTGCCTTATATTAATATTATTATTTTTAAGAGAAGATTTTTGTATTTTTAAAGAATTATTTTTATCATTTTTTATTTGTAATGGAGATGAAGCAACTCTGCTTTGATTACGAATAATAAAAAGAGTTGGTAAAGTATTAACAGATGAAGAATTTTTTAGTTTTGTTGAATTAAATACTCGGCGCATTTTTACAAATCTATTCCTTCAATGAAGTTTAAAAATACTCAACTATGTTTTACATAGAAAATGGGATATAAGTAGCAGTGTGAAATATTTTCTAACAGAAATTTTATTTTACAAAATTTATTGATAAAAGTACCAGATCGGTGCAGACGAAATTTAACAAAAAATAAAAATAAATGGAAGGAAAAAATAGAAATATCAATAAATGAACCTAAAGTGATCGGGAGAATATTCTAGTTTTAATGATAGCATCTGCACATTTTTTTCAATTTTTACTAGAGCAAATTTCTCATGCAATCAACTATTTAATATTGAGCGGGGTATTAATTTAAATGGGGTATTAAAAAATTAATTGTAAACTTAAAATATTTTTTAGCAAAAATAAAGATAGTAATTAATAGTGTTTCACCGGAACCGAAATTTTGACCGGAACCGGAACCGGAACCGGATCCAATTTGAGTTCCGGTTTCCGGAACCGGAACCGGAACTTTTCAAAGTTCCGGCCCGGAACCGGAACCGGAACCGGAACTTTTAAAAAAATTTTGCTAGCAAATTTTAAAAATTTGTAGTTTAAGTAAAGTTGACTTTTCACCAACTTTTTCGGTTAACCGAAACCGAACCGAACCGAGACTTTTGATTAACCAAAACCAAACCGAAAATTTGTCGGCGATAAGTGATATATTTGGGTTAGAGAGTGGTGTATGAACGGATTTGGTGGTATAAGGGTTTGATATCGGACGATATAAGGATTCAGAAACGCAAGGGGGTTTAAGGGATATCAGTGGAAGAAGGAGCGATATACGTTTTATGGGGATAAGGAAGTAAAGAAGGATATTAGGCCCCTTGATATCACACTATATAATTCAAAATCCACATTGATCATCCAAATCATCCGTTATACAATTCAACTATCTTTTTCAGCGCCGCAGGCGAAAATTTTGAGAATATTTGAGGGCAAGAAGCTAAATTTTTTTCTTTTTCAGCGCCGCAGGCGAAAATTGTGAAAATTTCTGAAGGCTGTAGCAGCAAAATTCATCATTTATTAGTCATACGAAAAATTTTAAGAATTTTAGAGGGCCAAAAAACCGTAATTACTCCATGTAAAAATATAATGATTTTTAAAACAAAATTAAACTCATAAAATGAGTTATTTGTTGAAAGAAAAATTTGAAGAGTTATTGTCCTACGACGGGAAGCGAACCCAACTTAAAATCACTAACTCCTTGAGTGAAGCCTAAACCCTTAACCACTCGGACACCCGCTCATCAGAATGCAAATGAAAGAAAATAAACATATTTCTTTCGATTTTTTTTATTACAAGTATGAGAGTACGAGTATTTTATTAATATTTTTTTAAAAAAACTAATCCTTAGGGGTGTAAAAAAGTTCCGGTTTGGCCGGAACCAATTTGTAAACCGGAGCCGGAACCGGAACCGGATCCAATCTGAGTTCCGGTTCCCGGAACCGGAACCGGAACCAAAAAAACACCGGAACTTTCCGGAACCGGAACCGGAACCGGAACTTCCGGTGAAACTCTAGTAATTAAGAGATGTTTTTAAATTAAAATATTTTAAAAAATGCGACCGAAGCAGAGGTCGCATTTTTCCCAAAATATAATAGAAAGATTTGCTTAAATAATTTCATCCATCACAATCAAATTGTTGGAATCTCTTTCTCTCTAATACAACAATAAAATTTATTTAAAAAGGGATAAATCCATCAATAAATCCTTCCATTTTTGTTTAGTTCCCTTTAAATCGCCAACTGAGTGGATTGCGGTTATCCATTCAAAAAAACCGTGGATGACCATTAACGTACATATTTTTCAGTATTTTTAACAATCATTTTGGATAAATTCGCCAATAAATTTTCTGCGCCCTATATTTTATTAAAAATTAGAATTTAAGATTAAAAATATAGAGAAAATTCTTTTTCACTAATGAAAATTCCCAGCACTCTATATATGATTTTTTTTTCATGATTTTTGTTTATTAATTATTAAAAGATCTAAAAATACAGATAAAATTATCAAATATAAAAATGTTTCCACAATTATTATTTTATATTATATTATCATTATTAATATTAAATATTAATGTAAATGCTATTGGCGAAAATCCTGTAAAATATTTAAATAAATAAGTAAACATGTACTATTTAGTGGGATATTCAAAATTTTGCTGAAATTATTAGCGGCATCGGTCAAATGATTCAAAATCCAGCAGAAACTGTTGATGTTCCTTCAGCCCTTATTATGGGAAAATGGTTGGATTTATTTTTTAATTAAATAAAGTTGAATGTGCTTACATCCCTACCAAGATCTAAATTAGAGCTAAGAATGAGTGGAATATGAAGGGAATACTTTAATATTGTTGTTAGTCCGGCTGGACATTATTCACCGCTTAGCCCTTCAGTCTCTTGATAAAACGATATTGCTCTCTCCTTCGCTTATTCTTGTATTATATGGACTGTGGATAGGTGGATTCAATGGGAGAGTACATTATTATTTATCAATTCATTTCCGTCGTATATCGGTATCGGTCAATATCAACTACTATGACAATTAATTTTAATTTTTTTCTGGTCCCTTCTTTTGTAAATTAATTTTTAATTTTATTGATAAAATTAACTAGAAATATTTTAATTTATTCTTAGCGAAATTTAAAGGTTTCAAGTCTATAAAGCATCCGTCAGTTTTGACATTAACAGGCCGCAAATGTATTGTGCCGTTAGCTATTGTAATTAATTAATAATTGTTTTATTAAAAATATTTTTAAAAGTTAAACCAAACAGCGTAATGGGTGAGGATGGATTTTCTATCGAGGTTTTTAATGAAACAAATATGTAAAAATTAAACTTTGAAAAAATTAAAAAGGAAGCTTATCGTGCAGTATCAAAAAATGGACCAATAGAAACTTTTAAAAGAGATTTAAATAAAGTAGGTACTGGCAAGTATTGGATGTACACTGAAGAATATTTTTATCCAAGACAATGTAAAGCATTATATTTTAACTCATAGAGTAGCTTATTTACTCAAATAATTACCTTGGTTAGTTATTTTTCAGCCTTTGGCTGGAGAGGGCACTTAATAGGGAGAGGAGAGGCAGGGAAAATAATTATAGTTATTATTTCTAGTTTATATAATCAAAATTGGACCAAAATTTGGAAATGGTACACAAGTTGACGAAATAGATATACAATATATTGTTGTAACTGGTGGGTATTGAGAAAATTTTCATTAAATTATATGTAGAGAACTGCGAGACTCTTGGCCTTGAATTAAGAGTTACATGGATTTTTAGGGAGTTGGGCTTTGAGCATTTTAGAAAATTAGACTAAGACAGGGTTAAAGTCAACAAATTTTGGCCAGTTCTGGAAGAATGAATGTTCCTTAACAGAAAATTCAATACCTACAAAAGTGAATAAGGGAAAAACATAGTGCAAAATAGGAAATACAAGATAAAGCATCGGAGACTCAGAAATTTTGATTACCTTTTTCACTATTAAATTAAGAATAGATTTGAAAGTTTCAAGACATAATATGGTTCTAAAATTAATTTCATCTACCTATCTATTTTAAAGATGCCAGTAAATTGTCCCTGACAGTTTATGCAAGAGAAGCAATGCTTTTCTTTAAAAAGTATAATAAAGAAGTTATGGACTTTTTAAAAGGTAAAAAATAATTTTAAAAAATTAAAAATATTTTTATATAGAAAAAGGATTTGGGGGAAAATTATTTTGGAATTCCCCAAAACCAATATATCAAGGAAATGATTGTGATTGGCCATCTGAAAGAGAAGTGTTTGCAAGAAGGTTAGGTCTTATAGATAAATAGGAACATGGAAGTATGCTTGAAACATTTTGTCAGATAAATTTAGGCTCATATTACCATTATTTTCCCTGAGGATTTTGTTGTTTAATTACTAGCTTATGGAGATGCTTAGGTAGTCCCTAGCTAAAACTTTTCATAGTTATGATATAGTGAAATTGTGAATGGGATGTGTCAATGGAAATAGCAATTAATAACAAATATAGTAGTGAAATGACCGGGAAACTTCATTACCTTTGCTTAGATAAGCAACTGATATACCCTAAATAATTTAAAAAATTTTTGAGTCAAAGTGTCATCTTCAAAATAATTTAATTTTAAACTATAATTTTGTTCAATTTTTTAGAGTTTTAAAAAATTATGAGCACAACAAAAAAGAAGCTGCTCGACCCACAACAAATATTACTCAAACTCCAAGTGAAGCATTCGCTGAAATTATGAAGAATCCTCAACAAGCAATACAACAATTAATGCAACAAAATTTTAATTAAAAAATAATTTTATTTAATTTATTTAAAATTTTATTTTTTTCAAAATTAAATTTAACATTCCCAAAATTAACCTAACATAAATGCTGTAAGCATGTGATTGTTTTGGGTTATATCTAAATCTAATTGAGTCGAATTCGATTTATTTTAAGATATTGAATCTTAAGGTTTTCCAATAAAATCCTGCTGGGCATGTCCTGTTAGACCTTTTTAAAAAATCCGGTTACGGTATCACGGGTATTTTTTCTCAATTACGGGATTTTTAATTATTCCCGTAAACTCCCTTCTTTTTTCACACGAAACCCGATCCGAGGAATTTTCGAAAACCCGTGCCGAAATCCAATATTTGCCATGAACTTTGGTCCATAAAATGAAGAAATTGGGTGCTTTGACCTTCGAAAATTCTCAAAATTTTCGCATGCGGCGCTGTATAAGTGAAATTTGTCCGTGCCTTCATTAAGATAAAACTTTCAAGATTTTCGTCTGAGTCGCTAAGAAGATGAAATTATCTCTTCTTGGCATAATGAAAATCCATAATATTTGATTTATGTGGAACTTTAAAAAAATGAAACTTTAAAAATGCGTTGCAACTTTAAAAAATTCGTCGGTTATCGAGTGGAAAGATACATACTTATTATAAATTTATTATAAATTTCTTATTATAAATTTACACAAAAATAATTTAAAATATTTACTTAGAATTAGTTGAACTTTTAGTTTATTAAGTACAAAAAATCAGATGTAATTCACATGAAAATAAATCTTGAAAACATAGCTTTTAAATAAATAAAAAAAGTAAGAGGGATTCCCTAAAGGAAGTAAAAAATGGATGAATTAAATATTTACTAATCCCCCAGTAATTTTCCTTACAGATTTTGTATAATTATCTAAAAAATGCATTAAATTGAAATACTCTTTAAATAAATGTAAATTTATTTTCTAAAAATAACATTTTTTATTTTATAATTTAATATAATGCCAAATCTGTAACCAGTTAATAAATTATCTCCAAAACTAATTTGGAGTGTAGTACGAGAATTGATATCGAAATATAGAAAAATAACCGAGATCTGGTTTCAGTCCGGTCTCTCATATATTCTGTTTATTCCAAACATATTTATACAGACAACATATTCCAAACATATCCTATTTATATTGTTAAGCTTTTTTCATTAATTCCGTAAGCATATCGGTTTAGTACATATTAATGTTTGGTGTTAAGACATATAGAAAACTTATATTCCAGTTGTGTATCTTTTGCACCCAGTCTTATGCCGAATTTTCGCCTTTATTGTTGTTTCACTTTCTTCTTTATAAGCATATCCTTCGATTTTCATTTCAAGAAAATTTTGGATCATGTTTTAGTTGAGTCAAAAATTTTTTTGCTCATTTTGTAGCACATTTAATTCTCTTCTATGGCCTATAAGCCTAATTCTATTATTGAACATTTTCTAAATGTTTCAGCGTTCGAAATGTTTCAACTTTACCCAATGTTCAAAAAAGCCCTGCCCAAAAAACTTTAAGGAATTCCGGTATGAAATTTTTCGTGAAAAATTTTTCTGTAACTTGTTTTGGGAAGTAAATCTTAAAACATAAAAAAATTAATTTCCGTCTCATATTTTCTGCCCACTATTTAAAATGTCATTTTATTTCCTTTCTACTGAAAACAATTAAAAATAAACTTTTGTCAATGAGCACCTGTATTACAGCTGTATTTTTATTTTTTTGACATTAAAAACAAAAATTTTATTCTGAAAAGACAGGAAATTGCAAAAAAAATGTTGCATTTTTATTTATTTTTAACAAAAAAAAAACATCTAAATACTTAAATACGTATTTAAATATAAATAAAAAATTTTTATTTAGTATCAAAATTAACGGTTAGAAAGCAAAAAACAACAAATAAAATTCCTAATTTAGAAAATCTTTTATGTGTGTATAAATAGGTAAAGCATACAGTATTTAATTTTAAAGATTACCTTCCTATCCCTATACATATTAATTTTTGTTTTATTTGTGGAAAATTAGAAGAATATTTTTAGATGCAGAAAGAGTTAAGAAGGATATCATGGATTAGGATGATAGATGGATATAGCAGCTTAAACCTTCCAACGATGAAAATGATTTATTCGACTAACCTCTGATACCCCTCCAAATTTCCTGGTTTACTCATTTATTCTCTATTGAAGAGAACGCGAACCTTTTTCTCTCAAAAAAAGTAATCTTTGTATGTCTCTCGCTGGGTTGCTCTAGTTTATAAGTTAAAATTTTTGAAACCTGGGCAGCAACAAGATTTTCGAGTTCTGGATTGTCAGGATCGGCGTCTAAGTTTGAATTTTATGCACCTTGGTTGTTTTGGAGAGATTTGCGGTTTGGTAGAAATGATTGTGATACGATGTGGTGAGAATAAGAGTATAAAAAACTGAAGATTAATAAAATCTGAAAATTTTTAGAGATATCGGAGGTTGGATAAATAAATCACTTTTATCGTTGGAGGGTTTAAGTTGCTATATCCTTTTATCATCCTAATCCTTGATATCCTTCTTAACACCTATATCGGGGATATGGCTCTGTTGAACTTTATTTTTTAAAATTATTCAATGTCAGTATGACTAACCTATATTAAATAAGCAGAAAGATATTTTATATGTATATTTAGAAAATAATTTTTAGTTTTTCTAATTTTATTTACAAACAAATTCATCTATTTATTTATATTTAATACTCTAAAAATCAACAGATTAAAAAGCTTTAAATAAATTACTGTATTCACATGTATATATTTAATTTTTTAGATGGAGCATCGGAAATAGGGGATTTATTTTTTAGATTGGCAGTTAAAAAGAGAAAAAAGAGTGACGTGAAGAGCGAGAAAAGCCAAAAGTTATTGCCATAATATTATTTGTTTTTGCTTTTAGTAAACATTTATTTTTTCTAAATCCGTTACAGCCAACCCAGTTGATTTCTATTTTTATTTCAAGTAATTTTACAAATATGTAATTTTTGTAAAATTACTATATGTAATTTTACAAACACGTGATTAATCTTTTAATTTTTGAAATCTTCACAAATTAAACTTTCTATTAATCCTTAAAATTTATTAGAGTGCATTTGGCAAATATTTATCCCTACTTAGTAACTCTTATAATTCTTATTAATTTTCGGAACTATTTAATAGACTGTTAATATCAATAAAATATTTGGTGACGTTCTTGGACGTATTTTTTAAAACTATTTAAATTAAGATATCATCAAACTGAGTGAGTTTAGCTATAACTATATGTATTTCTCTGGAGCTAGATAATTCTAATTTTATTAAGTTTTAATCATATTTTTTAGTAAATAAGGCTGAATATTTAAAAAAAAATTTTTCAATTTAACAAAACTCTCGATTTAATGAACATCTCTGTAACGAAAATTTGAAATAGAATGAAGTACCATTAAAATGGCATTAAATAGTATGTTATGCCATTCTATTCAACTTCTTATGTTTAGAAGTTTTTAAACTTTTACATGTTTTGAAGCATGGCTAAACATGTTATCTTTAGGATTGAGAAATTCTAACGCCATTTTATGAACGCTTAAACGAATATTCTATCTAGCATAAATTTATATTTTCTAAGTTGAGCAATAATAATTTTACTTATTATTCGGAATTAAACGTTTTAAATTCAATATGCTTAATATTGAAATAAGGGAAATAACGGTATCAACAAAGGATTGTGAACTCATTCCAAGAGATATGTACTAAAATTCACCAATGCTGTAAAACACCTATATTAACCAACATAAAGATCCATATGTCTAATGTTATATAAATTTAAAAAACCGGAAAAGGATAGCTTATTTAATTTATCTAAACGTCCAAACATTTTAAATATAATCCTCAATGTACATTCTTTGGTTTTCGTTCTTTTGGCTTTACCGTTAAAAAATCATAAATCCTTTAGTGTGCCAACATATAAAAATATTTTTATGATAAACATGTTTGTCATATACATATGGCTCATGATCATAAATAATAAATAAAGTTATTAATGATTTCTTAACGAAAACAAAGATCATCCCTTTTATCCTTGTTTATAAGTTATTATCACCATAATATTTTGTTTTTTAGATTTTTTCTAATTAAGTCTTGTTTTTAGCTGTGCTATTTTAATGTAGCTATATTTAGATAACATTTTCTTAATTTTTAAAATTTGTTTATATTTTCTGAATAAAAATAAAATCTATTTAAAAAACAAAATAAAATAATAGTAAAAAAATAACTACTATAATCTTTAACGTAGTGAAGTTCTCTCGATAAATAGTATATTAATTTTTTTTATTAGAAATATTAAATTTAGACAGAAATTAAATGTATGATCCATCAAAATATTACCATATTCTTTCAAATAGTTCCCCACTCGAAAATTTTATTTCGATTAATCACCCTCTCCCTACGCCTCTAGCGAAAAGTTGAGATAATAATTACCCCCTTTCAAAGTCCAAAACTCGATTAATTACCCTCTCTATTAA